ACATTATATAGTTATATATATAATTTTATATATATATATTCATTTTGAAATGACCCATTTGGACAGGTGCTTTGCTTTAGGAGAGTAGAATTCTCTATAAATAGGCCAGTGATTATGAATCTGGTCTATTATATTTACAAATTATATTTTTCCTAAAGTATGAGAGACTCTGGAAAGCAGTAATTACAGGTATAACAAATAAAAATAAAGTATTTTTTTCCTTTCTCCTGACTTTTCCAGGAATTGAAAAGTTGCTTAAAGATTGAGGCATGAAAGATGCTATTACATACTTAGTACTTGTTTTCAAAACCAGAGTCAAACTTTAGCAATATGAGGTCATTTCTTCTTCTGAAGACTCAAACGTTACCTGACTGTTGTTCTTTGGTTTTGGAATGTTTGTTCCTAACTATAAATCTGAGTTCATGAGCCTCCTTTGATACTTAAAGATTCATTTTCTTACTAACATTTTTAACCCCTTTTCAGCTTTCTCAGGAAGTTCCTTCACTCCTTGATGGACAGAGCACTTTCTACGAAGACGAGATGCAGATCCTGTTCTGATAAACAAAAAGTACAGGGTTTTTTTTCACGTTCATTAAGTCCCTGGGTGGTGCAAACTATTAGTGCTCATCTGCTAAACACAAATGTTGGCAGTTTGGACCCTCCCAGCAGTGCTTTGAGAAAGGCCTGGTGATCTGCTTCCCTAAAGAAAATGCCCCAGAGCAGTTCTACTCTGTAAGACGTGGGGTAGTCACGAGTCAGAATCAACCTGGCAGCAGTGAGTTTGATTTATTTTTTTGTTTTCATTTCCATGTTACCAGTTTAGATATACTCAGGTGAGAAGAAAAAATAACCTCTCAGGTCGCTACGTACAACCATGCAAGTTAGCCAATATACGGCAGTAGGAGTTCACGCGTGACTCGTGCTCCTTAGAGTGTTCAAAGTGGCAGCCCTACTCCCTTTCCTGCGGAACTAAGTTAACTGAGAAATAAGAGTAGGCAATCTGGCAGATAGAACAAGGGAACTCTACTTACATGTTCTAACTTGGAACTCTCTCCCACAAATTGCAGAAGACACGTTAGCCTGGCTTATCAATCTGTATTATTTTGCTTATGCCAACAAGCTCAGTTATACTGTACCATACCCATCTTAGCATGGACATTTATTATACACTATATTTGTGCTGATATTGTATCATTTGTATGATACAATATTATGGTCCAAAATTAAGTGTTCAGTGGAGACTTCCTGGAAAGAAGCTTTGTCTCAGGGCAGAAGACCACTGACCCTCAGAGACAAGGCAGCAGGAGGCTAAAGAGTTCAATTTAAGGAAGCAGATCTTCTGGCCGTACAGCCAATCATAAAGTCAACAAGCAAAGACTACGCACCACCTGCTACCAGTAATGCTGGCTCCAGATGGAAATGGTCATCCTTGTCTGAACAGCTTGTGTGGGTTGAGGTCAATCAATTCAGGTAGGCACTGAGACTACCTTACCCACTTACAGTGAGGGTGTTTACCAGCTCCCTACTGGAGACGTGGGATCAGATATCACTATATGGCCTTGTGTAATTTTGTTCATTGTAAATACAGTATATGGTATACAGTACTCATTCCAGTTAATGTCAGCCATTATATTCATCACCTTCAAGAAGTCTGGAGTTTAAAGAGCTCATCAAGTTGTTCTTTATTGATATTTGAAGTGAGTGGGTCCTCCCTGACCATAGCCAAGATGCTAGTGGCAAGAGTTCTATCTTCATGTCTCAACTATGGCTAGTGTGCTACATGCCACTCAAATAATTTCTGGGCCATCCTCTCTCTGCTCTTATTTCTTTGCAGAGTGAAGTAGACTTTTTCCCCCAATTTGTCTCTCTTTATTCTATAGTCAGGGTATTGGCTGCCTCAGAAACCGAAGGATGAGTCTCTATGAGTCGGATCTGATTCGATGGCAATGAGAGAGCTTCCTCACTGTGAGAAAGGAGCTCTGGTTCTGTAGTAGTTAAAGCATTCAGCTGCTAACCAGAAGGTCAGCAGTTCAAACCCACCAGCTGCTCTATGGGAGGAAGATGGTGCCTTCTACTTCGATAAAGATTTACAGCCTTGGAAACCCAATGGGGATCGCTATGTGTTGGAAATGACTTGATGGCAGTGGGGTTTTTTTTTTTTTTTCCCCCTTCACATAGCATGATATTTTCAAGGCTTATCCATGTTGAAGCATGAATAAGTACTTGATTCTTTTTTTATAGCTGCATTGTATGGATATACCAAATTTTGTTTTTCCACTCATCAGTTGGTGGATATTTGGGTCGTTTCCACTTTTGGGCTATTATGAAACATTCTGCTACGAATATTAGCCTACAAGTTTTTATGTGGACATATGTTTTCATTTCTCTTGAATACCACATGTGGATTTGTGAGGATAAAGATTTGTTTTGTTGGGCTTGACTCCATATTGTTAGACTAAAACTCCATATTTTCAGTTAACTTGCCATTTCTTTAAAGCCTGGGTTCAACCTTATGTTATAATTAACTAGTTTTCTCTCTAAGTTACAGTTATCAGTTCCTACTGCATCCTGCTGTCTAAGACAGAGCCATCTCTGTCAATATAGGCTTCTGGGCCAGACTTTAGGACTGGCCAGCTGGGCTTTGACAAACACCAGTGGGGCCTCTTAAGGATTACCTGACTGCTGGGTACTCACAGGAAACATTCCTTTCTTAATTACCCACTGCCCTATCTAACTTTTGGAAATTGTTAACTAATCCTGCATACATGCTGTCTCTCTTTTTCCTTTATATAAGAACCCCTGATTGTAAGCGCTGACCAGAGTAGGCGTTTTTGGAGTTACTGAGACCCTGTCTGTCTCTTGTTGATGCACTTCCTAATTAAATTCTTCTCCTTGAACTCTGGTGTGGATTATTGGCTGCGCTGCTCCAGGGCTGGACCCTGGCATTTTTTCGGTTACAGAATTGCTGGGTCATATGATAACTAGCCTGGGGCCTGCAGTAGGTGGGAGTGGAGTTCAGGGGCTGCTTTTCTCTTGGGGGCAGCTCTATTTTAAGGCTGGGACCTGAGGTAGGCAGGTGTGGGACTCGGGGCTGCTTTCACTTGGGGGTGGCTCTATTTTAAGGTCAAGGCCCTAGGTAGGTGGGCACAGAGGGATTAGGAACAACTAAGGGAGATGAACTTGTCTGCCAGTTTGTCCTGTGGTAGCTTACGTGTTGCTGTGAGGTTGGATGGTGTTGCAAAATGCCAGCCAAGTTACCCATGGTGGACAGATTTCAGCAAAGCTCCAGGCTAAGACAGACTGAGAAGAAGGAAGAGGCCATCCACTTCTCAAACAATTGGCCAGTGAAAACCTTATGAATAGCAATGAAACATGCCTGATATATTACTGGACAACTTTATGAATAGCCCTGAAATATTGTCTGATACAGTACCAAAAGATAAGCCCATCAGGTCAGAGGGCACTCAAAATTTGGGGAAGAGCTGACTCCTCAGAGTAGAGATTACCTTAATAATATAGATAGAATAAATTTTGGGGGACCCCCATTGGCTGATGTGGGAGCTCTGGTGGTATAGTGTATAAGGCATTTGACTGCTAACCAGAAGGCTGGCAATTCAAACCCACCAACCACTCCTAGGAAGGAAGGTTGGGCAATCTACATCCATAGTGATACCACCTCAGAAACCCAAGGAGGGGTCGCTCTGAGTCAGATCTGACTTGATGGCAGTGAGGTTTTCTTTTTGTTGTTGTTTGTTTATTGGCTTATGTGGCATGACTCAAAATGAGAAGAAACAGATGCAAACATCCATTAATAACTGGAACATGGAATGTACAAAGTATGAATCTAGGAAAATTGGAAGTTGTCAAAAATGAAATGGGAACGCATAAAGATCAATATCCTAGGCATTAGTGAGCTGAAATGGGCTGGTTTTGGCCATTTTGAATGAGACAATCATATGATCTACTATGCTGGGAAGGACAAATTGAAGAGGAATGGTGTGGCATTCATCATCACAAAGACTGTTTCTAGATCTGTCCTGCAGTACAATGCTGTCAGTGATAGGAGAATATCCATATGCCACTGATAGCAACCCCTCCTTGGGTTTCTGAAGCAGTATCTCTACAGAAGTAGATTGCCCAGTCTTCCTTCTGAGGAGTGGCTGGTGGGTTTGAACCACCAGCTTTCTGGTTAGCAATCAAGTGCCTTAGGCGCTATGCCACCAGAGCTCCCCAGTTAATACTACTATTATTCAAATTTATGCATCAACCACCAAAGCCAAAAATGAGGAAATTGAAGATTTCTACCAACTTCTGCAGTCTGAAATTGACCAAACATGCAATCAAGATCTGTTGATTATCACTGGTGACTGGAATGCAAAAGTTGGAAACAAAGAGTTACTGGTAGTTGTAAAATATGGCCTTGGTGATAGAAATAACACTGGAGATTGCATGATAGAATTTTGCAAGACCAACAAATTATTCATTACAAATACCTTTTTTCAACAACATAAGTGACAGCTATACGTATGGACTTCACCAGAAAGAATACATAGGAATCAGATTGACTACATCTGTGGCAAGAGGCAATGGAAAAGTTCAGTATCTTCAGACAAAACAGGGTCAGGATCTGATTGTGGAACAGACCATCAACTGCTCATATGCACATTCAAGTTGAAGTTGAAGACAATTAAACCAAGTCCACGAGAGCTAAAATATGACCTTGATAATATCCCTCCTGAATTTAGAGACCATCTAAAGAATAGATTTGATGCATGAACACCAGTGACCGAAAACCAGAGGAATTGTGGGATGACATCAAGAACACCATCCATGAAGAAAGCAAGAAGTCATTAAAAAGACAAGGAAGAAAAGACCAAAATGGATGTCAGAAGAGACTCTGAAACTTTCCCTTGAGCAGAGAGTAGCTAAAGCAAATGGAAGAGATGACAAGATGAAAGAGCTGAACAGAAGATTTCAGAGAGCAGCTTGAGCAGACAAAGCCAATTACTATAATGAACTGTGCAAAGACCTGGAGTTAGAAAACCAAAAGGGAAGAACACGCTCAAATTCCTCGAGCTGAAAGAACTGAGGACAAAATGTGAGACTCAAGTTGCAATATTGAAAGATTCTATGGGCAAAATATTGAATGATCCAGAAAGCATCAAAAGAAGATGGAAGGAAGACACAGAGTCACTGTACCAAAAATAATTGGTCGATGTTCATCCACTTCAGAAGATGGCATATGACCAAGAACCAGTGGTATTGAAGGAAGTAGTTGAGGCTGCACAAAAAGAATTGGTGAGGAACAAGGCTTCAGGAATTGACAGACTACCCATTGAGATCTTTCAACAAACAGATGCCATGCTGGAGGCACTCACTCAGCTATGCCAAATGATTTGGAAGACAACTATTTGGTCAACTGACTGGAAGACATCTATATTTGTACCTGTTCCAAAGAAAAGTCATTCCACAGAATGTGGAAATTATCAACCAGTATCATTAATATCACATGTAAGTAAAATCTTACTGAAGATAAGTAAAAAATGGTT